ACATTGACAGGTAAGTCTCAAAAATAAACCATTAAAAAGATTTATTATTATTATAATTCTCATCATTGTTATCAAAAACATTACCMTCATTTTCTGATAAAATAATGCTTAATTCTTAGGAGTCTATGYTGCCATGGAGAGAAAGGCCTMTTGTCCAAAATCCTTGAGACATTAATYAAGACCCCACCCAATGCGTCCATAAGGTTCTGGTTATCTAGAGCTATTGAAGGGTTCYTGCGTGGCCGCGCTTCCTTTGGTGATCAACTGTTYCTTGTCAAAAGAGGTCTTTTGGAGGTAGATACATTAATGAATTTTTAAATCACAGTAATATTGTAATGGTATCATACTTGAGTCCCAATATTATTTTATTATAAAATGAATATTGTCTAAATCATGTTTTTTTTTCATTATTTCAGCATCTTGTAGACCACATTGGTAGTTCTGAAATAAAACCAAAGGAAATACTGCAGAGCAGCTTTGATCTTCTTGGAGAACTCATGAAGTTTAACCCCATTGCTTTTAAGATCTTCAACTCAGTCATTGATGACAAAAAGGTACTGTCAATGCTGTCTTTGTTCTGGTGTGTCTATTATGTCTATTATCAGTTCTAACAGCATTCTTTTGTTCTTCTAGTTTGAGAAGTTCACACACATATTGACATCTAACGTGGTTGACTCAAATATGCTTATTCGCTGCTTGATACTCAGTCAAGAACGATTTGTGGAAGAGATGCCTTTTGGTGGTAAGTCATTATGTACTATTGCTGATTGTGTGAAATGGATGGTAAAAGACATTTTATCTACAACATGAATTCAAAGTGAGCTCTTCCATTGATAGTAATCAAAACTGATGAGGTTGCAATATGGACTGCAATTTATTATATTTATACATGTATTATCATCATCATTACTGTTCCTAGTATTTATTAACAATTATTTTTTTATTACAGGTGTTTCTACTGGGGTATGCAGGCTCGGTACATTGATTAATGACTGGGAACAAAGAATGTATCTACTCAATAAGCTCATCAACTCCATTACTGTCAATACACTTACTCAGGTACATTGCTTTTTCTCTTCTTCTGTCCTTTTTTCATGTTCTCATCTTTCCTTTCATCATTTTCCCTTTTATTCTTTTCCATTGTGCATATTTTTCATTCTCACTTTGTCATTTACTGTTAGTCATTTCATTAATGTATGCTGTCTCTTATTTTTCAGGAAAATGTTAGCTGTCTCAACACCACCCTTGTATTCCTAATGATTGCATTCAAACAAGGTCATTTACCTTCTTACCTCAAAGCATTTGTAAAAGAAGAGAGAATTCAGAAAAACCCAGGCTTCATCATGAAGAACCTCAGGTAAACATTAACCCCTAATCAATGGAATGAGGATAGTAAATGCTAAAACCAGTTTTCCAAATGAGAATCAAAGGACAATATTTTAGTACTTTCATTTTAAGCTTTATTATGAGTGAAGTTATTTGTTTTATTTATTATACATATCAATAACGTATATTCTTACTTTCACAGACATCTTTTGGAGTTCTGGAAAAATCATTATCTTAAGAGAGGAAAGGATTGCTCAGCTTTAGAACAGGTAATTACTTCTTTAATCTCTTATTTGCCTTGGGCTTCATTCAAACATGATGTCATTTAACTTTCTTGTTGATTTGTAACTAACATTAAGTTTTTTTTTTTTTTACAGAGTTCCTGTATAAGCTTTGACCAGTGGAAGAAAGTTGTAGATATTCTATTACAAGATGACATTACTTCAACATCATCAGTCTTGTATTACCTTCCTCCTGTTAGCCAGTCATTCAGACACTGCTGAATGTAGACTTATATATCATAAATTGATTGAAGTTTCTTCTTCATACATTATTTTGACAAACGTGCTGTTGAATGGCATGACTCGTATTCTAGTTAGAAAATTCTTACAATTGGTGACAGCAAAATGAAAATAATATATTTTGCTTTGTAAAATAGTGATATATATAATATATAATATTATACATTTCAGTTAATGTCGATAAAAACAATTCGACACAAATTATAGCTGTCTCATTCAGAGCACTTTCTGCTATCAATAATAATAGTATTATTGAAATAGGTATCTAATGATAAAAATGAATTTTCCAATACTAGTCTTGGGGGTGTCTGTTTTTAGAAAGTCTTTTTGTCCTTAAATATATTTCATGCTTACAATGTTGCTGTAATGAATGTCATTTTTTATTGAAAAAAGTGTACAAATGTAAATAAAGTATTTTTTAAAGAAAACAAACTGTGTGGTTTTCTTGTTGTGTTGTAAATCTTGAACTCACTTTGTACTGGTGCTACAACTAGACTCATGATTGTAGTTGGTTCCAGTTTGTTTTATGTGTTTAGATATGGCAAAAACTATGCTTATAGTCTGGGTATCACACCTTGAATCAATAAGTGAGAGTTCATTAGAGAAGTGAAGGGGAATATTAATTTTATTCTAACAGTTTTTCCAATTTTGTGCAACAAAGGTTTGCACAGTTTCCACGCTGCTTTGTCATACCAATGACTTTGAATCCATGTTTCTCATAAAATGATATTGCATTGAGTGTGGAAAACACTGTAAGTTTTTTAGCTTGTTTTTGCTGGGCAATGTTCTGTAAGTGGTCAAGGAGTTGATGACCAATCCCTTTGCCTACATGATCAGGGTGGACATACAGTGCTTTTACAAACGCTTCATCCCATTCTCCTGCAAAGAAGTATCCATCACAGGCTAATATCAGGAGACAGTTCATATAATGGACTTAAAAGACAGCATAGCTGACCAAGGAAAGGCGTTCTTATCCTATCCTCCCTTGTGAAAAGCTAGATAGGCTAGATAGGGGGCCCTCCACGGCCAGTTTTTGGCAAAAAATGAAAACAACAAAACAGCAGTAAAATTGTATGCAGAGGGTCTAGTAGGCAATACCAAAAAAGGTACCCCCTAACCCTTTTATTCCTCTCCCCAGTCCACCAAAAGCCGCTACGCGCAGACTACACCCAGTGTAGTCACGTGACTATGATCATAGAAGAAACAAATGAATTGCATGAAAGCACAAACCTTGCTCTTGAGTACCATCTAGTTTAGTTTCATCGCCATTGTGTCTCGATAGGTGGCCAAAACCTTTGAGATTTTTGATACCATTGTCCATAACAACTATTTCCGCCTTAGCTATGTATTCTAGATATCGCTGCTCATTTTGACGYGAAATCCATGCTTTAATCTCTTCTTTTTCGTAATATTCCGAGCAAATTTCTCGTATTGATGAAGTATGGACATCGTAAATAGCACTTGCATCAGATGAAACGGCCAAGCGAATCGACATTATGACCG